AAAAAAAAAAAAAAAAAAAAAAAAAAAAAAAAAAAAAAAAAAAACCGTTTACCTGTTGAGCTGTCTTTGTCGGATTTCATTTCGATATGTTTTAATTATTACGTTATTTAAAAACAAAAATAAGAAGGAAAAAAAAAAAAAAAAGGAGAAAAGGAAAAAAGGAAAAAGAAAAAAGAGGGTAAGGGTTGCTATTATTTGGGCTCTCCGCTGTGCGACCCAAACCACTTCAGGAAATACGTGTGCCAAGTACGTTGGCGGTGCGTAGCAAATCATCATCTCATTTTACTTTTTATTTTTTGTTCCTGTTCTTCCTCCTCTTTCTTCTTCCTTCTCCTTTCTCTGTGAATTCATTGTCGCTACTGGTTCAGATCAGGAGCTGCGGGTTCCGGAATGGCGAAATCTAGTGCGGATGACGCCGAGCTTAGGCGAGCTTGCGAGGCTGCCATCGAAGGCACTAAGCAGAAGGTCGTGATGTCCATTCGTGTGGCAAAGAGCCGAGGGATCTGGGGCAAATCTGGCATGTTAGGACGTCAACAAATGGCAAAACCTAGGGTTCTTGCTCTTTCCAGTACGTTCTCAAATTTTGATTCCTTCGTTTTCTTTTTCTCTAGAAATTGATTTGCGTCTTTCAACTCAGTATCTTCTCGCTGTTATCAAATCACTCTTTGAATTCCAACTGAGTCTACTGAAATTATCAGCATCTGCAGTTTCTGCCGCTATCGGGCTCTCTAATATGATTACCGACTGTAGTTTCTGGTTTGTACGGATTTTGAACCAATTTTGTTTACATGCGAAGGTGCATTCGTACACAGTAGGAGCTCTCTGAAATTACTTTCACTCGTTCCTTTACTGTAGCTTTTTACTATATGGAATTCCTTTCTCTTTTCATTGGATTTGTCGTTATGAATGCGTTTGCGTAATTGTTTATGCACGGCAGGGAAATCATTAATATTATAATGCGTAGTTAACTTAACAGTAAAAATTTTAAGCTATGTGCCGGTAAGAGGTAATTGCACGACTGCACTCTGGATAGACGGGTGAATTTTATTTTTTTAACGTTGATATTGCTTGAAAACTACAAGCGTCCTATATTCCATAAAAAAATGGATTAATGTTATCGGAGCAAACGCTTTCCGAAGGTTAGCCGTATATGGCATTTGAATTGTCGAAATTGAATATTTTTGAGCTATTGAAGCGTTAAGTTCGGTAATTAGTAAATGGAAAATAACCTTACTTGGATAGGATATATTCTGTAAGTTGTACTCATGTGTCGTTGAGATTTCAGTATAAGTCAAGGGACCTCGTTCTTTTTGTCCTTAGCAATCTCTAGGCTTCCAGTGCAGTTGTAGCTCTGACAATATTTCTAGCCACTCCATGAACTCCATCCTATTTAGAGGAAGAATTTCTTACGTGTTCAAGTTATTACATCCATTGTCCATTTACCTCTCTATCTTTGTCATCGTTAAATAATTAACTATATTCGATCTAGTGGCGATATTGTAGTTTGTGTGATCTTGGAAACGTGACAGATTGTCATTTTAGTTTCATCTGTGGTTTTTTGCAGCAAAAGAAAAAGGTCCGCGAACAAAAGCATTTTTACGGGTCTTAAAATATTCCACAGGTGGAGTTCTAGAGGTAATGTCAGAATTTTAATTATTTTTTCGGGTTTATGAAAATTAAATTTTTTTCACCTTCTTATAATAAATGTAGCCATGGGCTTCTGTATCGAATATTCCTTGCATTGCTTTTTGGTTATTTTTCTCTTTTCTATGTTCAAGCATTTTTTGGTGGCCGAAGTCTAGTCTTTTTGCTTCCCCTATTGATAATCAATTCCACGTGCAGCCTGCAAAGTTATACAAACTAAAGCATCTTTCAAAAGTGGAAGTTATAACAAATGACCCCAGTGGATGCACATTCACACTGGTAATGCTCCATTTCAGAATATTTCTTATCCAAAAAATGCTCCTTCCCATGTTATTACTTGTTTAGTATTGTCTATTTTTTGAACTTGGCACAATGATTAGGTATCTGAAAAATGGAAATTGGATGCTACAGTGCTGCTTAATTTTTGCTCATTCTTCTCTGTGAAACTGCATTTTTGCAGGGATTTGATAACCTAAGAAGTCAAAGCGTTGCCCCACCTCAGTGGACTATGCGTAATATTGATGACCGGTAAGATTATAGAGAAGGGATTATTGTTATTTTTTTTGGTGTTTTTGTTTTTAGCTCATTGCATGTAGTTTAAACAACGCACATTCTGCTGATTGTCATCTATTAGAAGTTTATATTTATATTTTTCTTATTTTTTTTTTCCATCCAGGAATCGACTTCTGCTTTGCATCTTAAACATATGCAAAGATGTATTGGAACGACTTCCAAAAGTTGTTGGTATAGATGTTGTGGAGATGGCTCTTTGGGCGAAGGTGCATGTGGTTTTCCTTCTTTTATAATATTGAAACTTAACTTCAGGTTGCTGTTTTATTTTGTGATTTTGTTTTTAAATTTAATGTATATTTATTTAAAATATTTCAAAAATTTATTATTCACAATTTGATGGCTTGATCCCTTTCATTCATGTTAGATGAATATAGATTACTCTTGCTTTTATTTTATCTCTATGTTTTCTTTGGCACAAGTGATGCTATATTAGCTTGGAGACGTCTACTACTAGTTTATTGCAGAGAAATATGCATGCATATGCTTAAGGAAAACGTGCCTGCCCTATCCTTATAATCTCTTGATACTTTCAGCCCTATCCTTGTTAGGACTTTTAACTGATTTTTATTTACTTTTGATTCTTTAGAGGTAAGAATTGTTTGTATACGTAACATGGATTTTTCATTATGAAAATATACTTTCAGCCCTAACCTTGTTACAACAACTGCTTGTGCCGCCTAGTTTTCTCTGCTGAAGTTGGTTTGGTAATTAATGTAGGAAAATACACCTACAGTTCCTACACAGAGGAGTCACCAAGATGGTCCTGTCGCGTCTAGAGTAACAGAAAGTGACCTTAAAGTCACTGTAGAGAAGGAACTTGTTTCTCAAGCTGAGGAAGAGGACATGGAGGCACTTCTGGGCACGTGAGTTTGACTTACCATGTTTTTCCTGTGAATTTTTTTTGAGTCATATTTTTATCAATTGGAGTGAGGCAGGTGCATAATGTTAGAATACTGCTATAATATTGTTTTTTTGTGTGCTGCCGCTTGATTGAGACAACAATGATTGTTGTGCTGTTTATGATTATTGATATGCAGTTATGTAATGGGCATTGGTGAAGCTGAGGCCTTTTCTGAAAGGTTGAAGCGAGAGCTCCTTGCTTTGGAAGCAGCAAATGTCCATGCTATTTTGGAAAGTGAACCGTTGATTGATGAGGTAGTTACCTTTGTTTTTTTCCTACTATTCAAATTTTCATTTGCCCCTCACATCTTTTCAGCAAATTTTACTTTATTGAAGAAAACATGTTACGGCATCTTATCTGCTTTGCTATGGTTACCTAAAACAATAAGCCTTAAATCTATTGATCATATGGCAACAAGTATTTCCAATATTGATCTCTATGGCATATGAGATGCTAAACTTTCCTCTTACACAATTACTACTAATATATTTGTTTTGCTATGAGCACTTTTTACTACATATAGCTTGCAGTATGGCTTACTAATATTGTTAACGCAACTTGAGTTGCTATGAAATTTCTCATGACTGAAAGCAGTGTTTTATGTAAACGTTGTCTGCTTGTTGTTTTAGGTGCTACAAGGGCTTGAGGCAGCAACGAATTGTGTTGATGACATGGATGAATGGTTGGGAATCTTCAATGTGAAACTTAGGCACATGAGGGAGGACATTGAATCGGTAGAAAATAACATACATTTTATATGTAGTTCTCTCATAAAAATCCCTCCTCACCTTCTTGGGCCTAGATGTGAATGCATATTGGATGGATTTATTGTTGTGCCCGAGTACATAAG